ATAGATAGATAGATAGATAGATAGATAGATAGATAGATAGATAGATAGATAGATAGATAGAATGATAGATAGATAGGTACATAGATAGATACATAGATAGATACATAGATGATAGATAGATTTAGATAGATAGAAAGACAGATAGATAGATGATAAATAGAAGGTAGATAGATGATAGATTGATTGATAGATAGATAGATGATAGAAGATAAATAGATAGGTGATAGATTGATAGATAGATAGATAGAGAGATGATAGATTGATAGATGATAGATATAGATGATAAATAGAAGATAGATATAGATAGATAGATAGATAGATAGATAGATAGATAGATGATAAACAGATTCCATAAGTCTGTTCCTCTAGAGAACCCTTATTAATACAGTTCTCAAGTAAATGAACTCCAATTCCTACCTTCCACAAAAGAAAGATAAACATCTCCTAGCAAAGAAGAGGAGAAGGGAAGAAAATGGAAGAGGAAGGTGGAAGGAGATAGAGGAGGAGGGCCAGAGAGGAGGAGGAGGAGGAAGGGGCTCTGGTGGCAGCAGTTGTGGATTTGGCAGCAGCAAGGAATGAACATCCAGGCTCCGTGCAGCAAACCTATAGTGCCAGCACTTGGGAGGAGGAGACAGAGAATGACCTGTTCAAGGTCAGTCTCCTACACTAAAGAAATCCAAGGTCAGCATGGGCTAACATGAGACTATGACCCAAGAAATTAGAGCAGGGAGGATCTCAACTATATTCTATGTAAGAGAAAAGCACTTTAAATACAGTGGTACAAGCAGGTTAAAAATAGATGGAATTGATATAGTGTTGTTCAAACAAAAGCAAAGGAGACCAGAAGTGCTACATTGTCTGGCAAAACAGACCTCAGAGCAGAGAGGGTGTGTCACTGTGAGCTATTCCTCTATTTCACCTGGAGTTGTAAGAACAGGCATCTGTATGACCCTCACGAGAACCCAAGTTCTAGAGAGAATGTTTCGATGCTGCTGCATTTCTTTACACGGTAATATTCATTGAACAACTCACCACACCCACGGGGACAAAAAAGGAAAGGAAAGGAAACTACTGAATGAGAGAACGTCCTGTCCTTGGAAGGGGCATTGTCCTACAAGCAAAGGGAGCCATGTGGCTCGCATGGAACGTGCAGTTAAATGTGTTGTGAGTTTTCACTCCTGAGACAAGTGATCGCCGTGTTTCTCAAGCTGACCTATTCAGCCAGGCTGACCACAAACTCTGGAATCCTCCTGTCTCTATTCCCCAAAGCTGAGATTACAGACATGCCACGTAAGCAAAATTTAAAGGGACACAGATGAGCATCTTCTTAAATATATCCAAACTGACAACAAGCATATCAGAAGGTGCCCAGAATCACCAATCCTCAGGAAAGAACAAACAACAAGGTGCTGCTCTCACCAGAGATGGCTGCCTTTAAAACAAGAACAGAGTGCTGGGGAAGAAGAGGATAAGGAGGAAATGAAGACCCCTGAGGGGATGCAGCCTGAGGTGTGAGATGTAATGCAACTTCTTCATCAAAACCGGCACAACACAAAAACAATATATGTGCTCCACAGTTGATTAGAAACTATATGTATAAGCCACGCGTTGATGGCGCACGTGTTTAATCCCAGTACTCAGGAGGCAGAGGCAGGCGGATCTCTGTGAGTTCGAGACCGGCCTGGTCTACCGAGCAAGTTCCAGGACAGGCTCCAAAACAATGCAGAGAAACACTGTCTTGAAAAACCAAAAAAAAAAAAAATATATATATATATATATATGTATAGTTTTATTGTAGGGATTAAGAAACATATAAACCTCTAATATATAATATTGATATGTGTTATATATATGTGTGTGTGTGTGTGTGTATGTGTGTGTGTGTGTGTATATATACATATATACACACCAAACCTACTTGATGTTAAGAAGTATTGACAGCCCTGAGAGGTGGCTCTGACCTGGGATGACCAGGAATGAGCCTTCCAGGGACGTGAACCAGGCATGATGGTTGGGGATGAGTAAAATTTCATTAAGCCTGAGAGTGAAAAGCTGTGCCCTTTACCAGAACTATTAAAAATATGAGCATAGGAGACAGTGAGAGAATCCTAAATGAGCACAAAATAGTATGAACTGTATTTCAGGTTCTACTGTAATCCACAACTGAGAATACAGAGATGGAAGTGTGACACCATGTGAGCATAATAAATTCAAAGCAACGCTGCCCTGCCCCCATTTATCACAATTAGAAAAGGAAAAGAAAACTCTACATTTTCACAGCACACAGGAGATACCTTTAACATTGATGGCTAACTCAAAAGTGTCAATACTGAAAATATCTTCTTTTAGAACTTTAAGATGATCTGCTACTATTCCATATTAAATATGGTGAAATTGGTTAAGATTAATTAATTTTAACATTTACCAAACTTACAAAATTATATCTAGTCTATTAGCATAAAGAATAAATTGTTCTTCGAATTGAAAACCTAGAGCCGGTGCAGCTAACTTACTGAATTCCTGTTTTGTGTTATCTTACTAGCATTTGAGGTTTCTGGAGGTTTTTTGTTTGTTTCTTTGTTTTAGATTAATTGAGGAATTTTACTTCTTTGGTATTTTTACAAAGTAACACAAAAGGCTATATTTTGTTTTTTGTTTTCTTTTTCTCCCGCACTCTCCTTCCCAAAGACCCTACCACATCCCCTCAAACTCCTTCCATATTTGAAATATTAAAAAGAGACTTGACTCCTTATACTTTACAAATTCTTTAAAAGGAACTAAATTAAAAATCTGTGTAACTTGTTCACTTAAAAAAACAAAATGAAGACATTGAAGTACATCATTTGAAAAACCTCAATATTACTATTTTATGTGTAATAACTGAAAATGTATTATAGTAGCTTAAATAAACATGTGTATATGCTTCAGCATATTTCTTGGGGCAAATATAACAAGCTTAATAAAGAATAAAGATTAGACTATATAACAGATCCATCTCAACTGTGCTTCAAATTATACTACTTTAAAAGAGTGAAGTATTTACACTTACTATACAAATTCTGGTTTGAAAACCAGACTAGACTACTAGTGTATTCTCAGAAGAAAATCTAATTTAGAAAGTTAATTTCAAATAATTAAATATTCATGAACATTCTAAAGTAACTATGTAATTGGTTTAAAAATAAACCATAATTAGATAACCAAAAATTGAAAAGCAGGAAATGATTAAAAATACAATCATATCAATTTTAATTACTGTGTAGTAAGCTACACAAATGAGTCATTATTTTATTGAAATTTGATTAAACCAACTAAAATCTGATCAGTACATATATTGGTCAATCTTAAATTTACGTTTTGTCACTATGAAAATGTATGAATTACATGGAGATATTTCTAAAATTTTTTAATGAATGTAGAAATCTCCTTTGTAGAATGTAAATCTCTTGAATTAGTTTGAATGAAAAGTTTACAGTAATACATTAAGTATTAACTTCTATTTAAGTGTTAAAATAAATTACAAATGAAAACTTTATCTTTAAACACATGATTTTAAAACGAATTCACTGTTCATGAAACATCAACACAGGAATTAATATTCAAACATTTCTAATTGTGATGCTTAAGTTGACAATTGTTACCACTGTTTCAATCTCTAAAACATAACACTCTAGAATGGGGTTAGTATAAATGACTTGTTCAATAAACTAATGTGAATTCAGTTTCGTCAAGAATAAAGGAATAAGTAGATACCAAATGCCAAAAAGTATTTCATCAAAGGACAACTTAACAGCAGCACGAAAACATTTTTAAAGATTTCCTAGAAATGAATCTCAAGGCTTCAGTAGCCTGCCAAAATAAGCACACTGAAGATGGCATGCAAAAGAAATACGATGGGTGCCTTGCTCAGACATCATCGGAGCAGCTTCCTCCTATGGGACATAGGAACAAACACAGGGACCCACAGAGAGATCCGATGCAGAGAGTGGGAGACCTATAAGGCGCGTCTCTATCCAATTCCTCCCCGCAGTGCTCGGTGAACCTTGCAGGTGGAAAGAGTTTATTACCAGAGGAGATGAATAACACCAGGAGAGCAAGACCCTCTAAATCCACATCAGAAAGCACACACAGACAGTGAGGAGGCGAGCCCAAGCCTGCAGGGGGGGTCCTCTGCCTATAGCTATAGCTTTTAGTGTTTTTATGGGGATCCTGAGTGTGCAGACGAGTGGGTCTCTATTTCTTGTGCCTTCTCTTGGGCTCTTTTCCTTCTGCTTGCTTGTCCAGTCCAGTTCTAATTTGTTTGTTTTTGTTGTATCTTACTATATTTCTATTATTAACCTTTAGAAGCTTGTTTGTTTTCTAATAAGACAGAAAGGGGTGGGTCTGAATGGGAGGGGAGGGGAGAAGAATTGGGAGGAGTAGAAAGAGAATAAACTAATTAGGATATAATGTGCAAAAAGAAAAAAAAACCCTCCATTTTCAATAAAGGACAAGAAGATGAAATGTAATACATAGAGGACATAAATGAGGAAACCAACTATGAGAGTCAGGGGTCCTGTAAAATGTACCCTACAAGGACTGTTAACCCTAAATCTTAAAGGAAAGATAAATTATACCCAGGATGTATTTTTTTAAAAAGTAAAGATTACTGAAACATATATGATTTCAAGTTCATTCATATGAAGGCATTCCCCATTAATTTAACAATCAGAAAACCCCAACATCCCAGCTGTTTCAAGCATCATGGCGTCTTTCACAATATGATACACACTGAAAAACCTGTAGCACACTCTAGTTGGCTGAACATTACTGGTGTGTCTTAGTGGAATCATTCATTCATCACAGATAATCACACATGGTAACTTGTGGAGGGTCCGTGAATGTCTTACTGCTCAAGACAGTGAATACGCACTGACATGCCATCTCTCCGAACAAAAGCAGCATTCTTTCACCGTGAAAATGCTCAACATCCTTAGAAAAATAAATGCCCTTCTGCTTACCTGTATTTTAATGGGCCAGGAAAAGTTGCTGACGTACACATAAAATGTGATATTCGGATTGCTTCTGAAGTTAAATTTTTCATAGGAAAAGCTATCTCTGTATTCCTTTACGTTTGTCTTAGAAACAATAGGAGTCTCTTCCCCAGATATTGTTCCTCCTAAAATAATAATATGGAGAAATTATTATTGATACTGGGAAACAGGGACCCGTATTAAGTCACAGTGTACAGTGCAGCAACTTCTTACATGTTTAAATCACAAGGACACAGTCACCAAAACTGTGCCACGCTGGCTGCTCTCCATGGAGGCTCCCAAAGTACCTCTGCATACAGGTTTGCCAGAAATACAGCGTAACAGATTCGGTATAAATATCACACTTATTAGTCTTCTGTAATACTCTTGACCCCAGAGGCAGCCCCATTTCTGGTTTTCAAGCTGAACCCTAGGCCGGAAGAAGGAAGCATGTCCCCCCACTACAGTGCCCCCAGCACACATGCCTCCTGCACATATGGTTCCAGAAGGAGAGTTCATTACAGTCAAACCATATTTGCTCATGACTGAATCCAATTAAAAAATGAAAAAAGAATCAATTCATCTGCCTGTCTACAAATTGAACCATCCTATCTTTAAAAAACTAGAAAGAGGCTATCAAATTAAAAGATTATGTAATGCTCAGCTAGAAACCACAATATTGGGCACTCAGTAAATGTTTAGTAAAATTAGCCAAATGGAACAGGGTATCTCCAAATACCTTAGCAAGACCTCCACCTTAACGAACAATAAAAACAAACAGAATTAGCAAACTGAGTGACTAAATGCTTTTCCCAAATTCTATTACAAAAGCAGCTCATGTGCATTCTCTGAGCTCATCACTCAGCAAATGTGCTGAAAAATGACCTTACATATTGACCATTCAATATAACACTTTTATCTTGATCATAGTTATGATTTCTTAAAAATTAATCATTTCAATTTGTGGTCTTTACTATGGCAGACATGCTCACAAAAATGTATTTGCTCTTAGCCCTGATGCCAACCAGAACTAAGATAGAGAAAAAATATAGTCTGTCACTTTTATCAGTAAGTGCAGAGCACTTTTGTTTCGTGTAAATATCGTAGTTGATAATTAAATTGGTAACTTCAGTAATGAATTGAATAATTGAGATCTCAATCTCTTTAGACAGTAAAGAACCAATCTATCTTAATTAAAATCACAACATTTCACAATGTTATCATTTTCCATGCTTGAGTGCTGCACACTGCTTGTTAGCCCTCTAGTTTTAATTGAATAAGGAAGGATGGTATTAAGCCTCCAAGTTACTACTTGCTATTTTTATCAGTAAAAGAACAGAATTATGGAAAACAATTGTATATTTTTATTTATTTAAAAGAATAGCAAATCAGAACAATCTCCATGCATAAACACATCTAGAAGAGACATGACAATTCTTTTTACCTGTTGAGCCAACCGACCATGTGATGTTGAGATTAAAGTTGTTGGAAGCATTAATCGAAATGTCCAAATTTTTGTTTGACTATCAAGAAAAAAAATTAATGTTAAAAAGGCAGAAATGTGTTAAATGCATATTAATCAACCAACTGATTTAATTCTACCCATTAACTACCTAAAACTGCGTATGATATAAATAAATATTCAATTGAATAAACACATAGTGTTTATGCTTTTAATGAAAATATGATAAATCCAAAGTTCCTCATTTATCTTCATTAATAATTTTGCCTTTTGCTTTTATATAATTTCTAAGAGTTAACTTTAAGGACATTGTATATATAACGGTAGTTTGCTATTATTATCATTAGTTCAAGATGTATTTATTCTCTTCCATTTGTTTAAATCATTCTTTACCCAGAGAAAAAGATGGTCTACAAAGAGGACTGGCTGACTAACCTCTACGAAGGGATAGGGTTTTGTGTCTGCAGTAAGTACATGAGTGTCACAACTATTATTTTTATGACTGCAAACCAAGTCTATAATGTATACAAGAGAAAGCGTAAGCCCTTAATTTCACCTTGAGTCAACTCTTCACGTCATGTGCTTTACCTTATTCTGGGTGGGATAAAGATGAGAACCATTAAAAGTTCATAGCAAAATGGTCAGTATAAGCATAAAACTATCCTTACTTTTTTAGTTTCTCCTCTACAAATTCAAGGTTTAGTTTCTGGGGAAATACAAGTACCCTAACTAAATCCCCAAGCCCACTTAGGGATGATGTTTCCTTGTAGGGCTATATGCAGAGCTGTGATACCACGGTTAATCCAGAAAATAATGGCATCGGTCCTGTAGACTGCTGGTGGTGATGGGGGAGCTCATTGAGACTGCATGGCACAGAGGCCCACTCTGTAATGGTTCACATGAAAGTGCCAAGCAGAGGCAGTCTGCAGCGAGATACAACTGAGATCTGTCATAAAAGCAAAAACGTTGGAAGTCCACAAATGAGAACAGATCTGCTTATTCTATTTTACAGGGCAAATTAAAAAGCTATCATCAACAAGTTCTTTTAACTTTAGAGATCGTCCTGGGTGAATTGCTCTTAGTTAACAGGATGACACAAGAAAAATCGTCCAAGTGTCCCAGGGGATGCTTCTCATAGAAGCCTAGCACCAGGGGTTCCTCTAGGATGTTGGTAAAAGAAAAATGTGGACAAGACTTTGTTAAACTTGTGTTATCTTTTAAATTCACTATTGGTAATATAGATGCTTAATCGGCATAAGTTTGTAGAATTACATGATAGTGAAACAGGCATTTGTGTAACTCAGTAAAACATTAGATTGGGACAAAGGTCAATGGAAACCAATGATATGCTTGACTGAAGATGAATGTGAGTTTGATACAGCCTACCTCGAATTCTAGTATTCCTTAAGTTTTCTTTTCATGAAACTTAGATGAACTTGTGAGTCAGAGAATTGCCAAGTTTGTTTTTTGATTGATACTCTCCCATTAAAATTATATATTCATATGCTTATTTGTAACAGAATTTATACTTATACACTTTAAATGTAGAAAATTCTTATTTACAAGTAAAACACAAAAATTCAAGGTAAATAAGAATTTTCTGAACCAATAAGTATATGAGATTACCATAAGTATATGAATATATGATTGAATATGAGATTACCATAAGTATATGAATATATAATTGAAACCAGGAGATTACCAATCAAAACCACTGACTTGTCACTTGTCTGAATCACAAGCACATCCAAGTTTCATGAAAAGAAAATTCCAGAGCTTCAGAAGCATCTACAGAACTCCTCTTCTATGCCACACTTCTGAGGAGTTAGATCGCAGGGATGCCTGGGCAGTAGAGGCAGACACTGCAGGGGGTGACGCCCCCTCACCTGCTCCGGGTTTGCAATGAAGTTGATGGCGGTGTGGTGGCGGTCATCCTCCTGCAGCAAGCTGAAGGTGAACTGGTAGTCAATCAGGAGACTATCTGTGGGGAAAGGAGAGTCCTGACACACTTGAGAAAGTCGCTATGAAAATTAAGAGCTGGGCAGACTACACCGCACAGGGGACTAAATTCATCATTGAATGCTAGCAGCCTATTCAACTATAGTAAGATACAAATCTTCATCATTAAGCAACAAAAACATGATAAGGAAGGCTCAGTTTACTGTAAATTAAATAAACAACAATTGGGCTGCACATGTTTCCTATAAAGAAAACAGTCAACTACACAATTTTTCAGGTAAAACAGGAGACACTCCATCTATCCTCGGAATTTCAGAAATCACATTACTGTATCTTTAGGGGGATTATAAAAACTAAGTAACTGGAATTTGAAACACAGACCTTAATGCCATTAACTTAATACGCTCTAAATTTTTCACTGAGTGGAGTACAGACCAAAAGGATTACAATTTAATGTAAGTTTTGAATTTATACAGATGGATACATTTGAAAGTATCTTTTTATACTGAATGATTGAACCATTCCTCTGCATCAAGAAAAAAGGGTATAAAGAAATAAAGGAATATAAAGTGTGACATATGAATGTCTAGTGTTGTAAAATACAAATTATAACAAATTGACAAGAAAAGTATCCTGGTGAGTAAACCTAAATATTCACATAAAGGATGATGTATGAAAGACAAATTAATAATATAATTAAAATAATCTAGTGTCCCTCAACTGATGAATGGTAAAATATGGTTTATTTAGGAGTATATTACTCAGACATAAAAAGAAATGAAGTACCGACATCTACTCCCCAAGAAATGAGTAAAACTAAAAAGTACTGTACTAAATTTTTTCAAGGTTGTTACAAACGACCACATATCTCATTATTGCATACACACGATATATTTTACAGAGACAAATCAACAAAACGGTATCTAAGATCTACATAAAGGAGAACCGGGTGCAACTGTTAAAATGCAGGAGCCTTAGCTGCAGAGGATGAAGACAGCACAGAATTAGGAACTCTCTCTGTGGACCAGGCTGGCCTTGAACTAGCAGAGGTCCGCCTGCCCCTGCCTCCCGAGTGCTGGGGTCAAAATGGTGGAGGCTGAATGACTCTGTAAATGAAGAGAGCCTGCCGAGCCGTGCACTTTAACTACTGCGTCAAGGACAGCTCAAATAGTGACAGCTACAGACACACAAGTGTTCCACATGTATGTGCATGTATGTGTATGCACACACACACACACACAAATTACTTACAAAGAAATACTAACAGTTTGTCAGCTTGACACACGCTAGGGTCAGCTGGGAAAGGGGAGCCTCAGTGAAGGCAACGCCTCCATCATGCTGGAATGTAAGGCAAGTCTGTGAGGGATATTCCAATGCCTGATACAAGAGGGTCCCGCCCATGGTGGGCAGTGCCTCCTCCTCAGTTGGTGACCCTGAGTTGTACCCTACAGCAGGCTGAAGACACCATGTCTATCCAAACCAATGAGCAGTACTTTTCCATGGCCTCTGCTTCAGCCCGTACCCCCAGATTCCTGTCCTCACTCCCCTAGTGATGGGCCACAACTGGAAGCCAAGCAGCTTTTGGTCTTGGAGTTTAACACTGCGACAGAAACACTAATTAGCACAGGCATCAATCACTCTTACACAAAAACAGAGATCAAAAGACAGGATGGAAAGCCGTATTATTCACGGAAAGGTATACTCAGTAATGCTTTTCAAATTCAAATGCAATGATAATTTTTAAGGGGCTAACAATAAATGACACATCCATCTTTCTCATTAAAATATAAAATTAAATTTAAATCATTTCCTTTTATGCAACAACTGAAAATATATATATATGACACAGAAGTATTGATACAAATTCAAGGTCAATTTTGTGATATGTATATTTCTCCTCTTGATTAAGTATTGTGCTTATACTGATCTTTTAAAACATAATGCATAATTGAATACAGACTATAGATAGTTACTTATATTAGTCAGAATTTATAGCTAAGTAAGTTAGGTTTTCTAGATATACAGAGATATATTTGAGATAGATAGTCTTCAAACCTTTCAAAGACCTTCAGAAAATGGCATTTAAAATGGTTTAGGGTTTTTCTTGACAATGAGAAATGTCTGCTCCTGGCACATCAATTATGTCTGAGAGGAAGGTGGGCATTGAAGAAACTCGTTATGGAGTTTGCTTTCAACATGGCAAGATTAGCCATTTGGGCAAGAAACTGCTCTTGCCTAGACTTCTGAACTGTTGCTGTATAAACTGGATATGCAGGACCCACAGGAAAGTGACTGCTGAACTCAAACAGTCCTTCAGGGTTCCTGCTTCATGGAAGAGTCTACGAAACTTTCTGCAGGACACAGAAAAATGACTGACAGACTGCTGATGCAGATGGACAGTTTGAAATTTCCTGCTTTGCTGAGAAGTCTTCCAGACACAATGTGGCCTATGGGCTGAAGATGGATACCTCAACATTACAGAGAAACTTCAGGTGACTGTCCAAGCAGCAAGATGTCTCTGTCAATCCTAGTGTTTATACATTATCCTTCTGTGGTCTTTGATGGAGTTGAAGACAGATAGTTAGAATTATAGTTTTCCTTAGTTATGATAAAAGATAAGCTACATTTAGAACTTTAGACTCACAAGGATGGGATGGATGATATTTCTTTAAATCTTGCTGAATGTTGATAGACAAAATATTGTAACTGTGTTCTTACTTGATAACTGGTCTGTTATATATAATTTGACTATGTTAAAGTTAAGACCTTTCTTTTTGTTTAGACAGAAAAGAAGAGATGATGGTAGAAGTCCTGTATATTTGTCAATAAGACATTGTTGGCCAATAGGGAAGCAAGATAGGTGGGACTAGGAGTCCAGGAGGACTCTGGGTAGGAGAAACACAGGGAGTCATCATGTAGCCCGCCAGAGATGTAAGATGTCCATCCGGTAAGAGAAATACTAGATGGGTTAAATACTTAAGTCAGAGCTAGCCAGTAAGAAACAAGCAAGGCCAACAGCTTTATAATTAATACAGTGTCTTGTGTGTTATTTGGGGACTACAACGAGGCAGAGGCCAGACGACTGGTGGGGAAAAACCAAAGCGGCTGGCAAGGAAAAGGCTTCTCTCTATACAGAAGGGCTGGAGAGCTGGCTCAGAGGGTAAGAGCACTGTCAGCTCTTGAGGAGGACCCGGGCTCCAGTCACAGCGTTTCCAGGGAGGCTCACAACTGTCTGTAACTCCAGTTCCAGGAGCTCCCATCCCCTTCTGGCCTCTCCAGGCACTGCACACAGATGGTGCACATAGTTAAATGCAACACGTACACACACATAAAAATACCTTAAAAGGAAACGACACATTCATAAAAGGAACTAAATTGTAGATTTAAACTTAGAGAGGGTAGTTATATAAAGGTGATTAACAAGAAAAGCATCATCTTGCTAAATCTATAGCAAGACTGTTTGCTGAAGGTGATATAAAAGAGCTGCAGTAAGAACTAAAACAACAAATCATACACAGATAAGCATGTATAGCTCTCATCTCAGCGAGGGGTTTATTATGCTGTGATCAGGTCTGACCCATACATAAAAGTGTATGTTTTAACTGTTGTACAGCTAGGTAGACCTAAATTTATATATAGAAGAGTACTTGACTTTTGAATGCTAATCTATATCCAGAAACTTGACAGCCATTGCTATCATTTCATACAATCCATCTGAAGATGTTTCTATTTCTTAACAACTGTATCATTTATAAAATAAACAAAAACATTTTATGGTTAGAATACATGTAACCATAATTTATATTTCTAATAATTATGTTCTGGAGAACTTTGACTTTTTTTGTTTTGTCTGTTTTTCTATTAATAATTGTAAATGTGTGCATGTTAAAATTTTGATTTGTATTACAGTAATTTATATTGGGGTTTCATCAACTTGCTATCCCCATGTTAGGATTACTTCGCTGCCTGTGTATCAGACGCAGGAAGTACTGGAATGCACTGCATTCCATGTCGATACTAAAACTTTGCCATGAAAGGTGGAGACACTTTTAAACTAAAGACTTTAAAACAGGAAACGTAAGTTTTCAATGTATATCAAAAAATATATTTAAAAAGCCTAGATGCGCAAATAGGAAAAATACTTTGGGTTTAATATTTCTTTTTAAATTGTCATTCATGCTCATAGAAAAAAATTCCCATTGATTCACCCCAAAATGAAAATTTTAAAGAATGTCACAGCCATGTGTTTTGCACAATTATCCAAACAAAACAACAGTATGCTAAAGTCCTTGTGCCTCAAAAACTACAAAAAGCTGAAAAGAAATACATAAAAACTGAATGAACTGAAATAAAACTAAAACAGTTGACAGAATCTCACAAATATCACAAATAACTGATTTACACATGGACTCATTTAACTCATCATTAATCATAAAGTATCAGATTGGAAAAGCACAGGATTGATTCATGTTCCGCTTCTAAGTGTCATGCCTTGCCTGTGGGAGGAGGGCAGAAAGCATGAAAGAATACACACCGGAAAATATTCACAAAAACACATAGGTGTCAGCAGGCATAGAAAGTATCAACAGGGCATGGCTGTTCCCAATTACAAAAAGGTGCATAGTCTACCCACTAAAATCTGACTTAATACAGCTACAGAGATGCAGCAGATGCCGGGCATCAGGCCCCAGGAAGCTTTCTACCACAAAGAGAAGAAGAAAGCCTAGATAGTCTAAGATCATAAAACAGGATGTTCCCTTTGGATTCATATTTTAGATCAATGTAATAATGACTAACAGCAATTTTCTTTGGGGAGAATCATTAGGGATTTTAATTTGTCTTCTATCTTTTTCTGGAATGAATATGCATTTCCTCTATTGTTGAAATTTAAAGCAGGGGGGGTTAAAATGAATATACGGATAACATTATTCTCTTGAACACTGATCTTTAACACATTTTCATATACTATACTTACATGATTAACAGTTATATTAACATAGTTACAATCACTTCCAAATATGA